ATAGATAAATAGACAGATAGATAGATAGATAGACGGATAGACAGACAGACAGACAGACAGACAGATAGATAGACAGATGGATAGATAGACAGATGGATAGATAGACAGATGGATAGATAGACAGATGGATAGATAGACAGATGGATAGATAGATAAATAGACAGACAGACAGACAGACAGACAGATAGATAGACGGATAGACAGATAGATAGATAGATAGATAGATAGACAGACAGACAGATAGATAGATAGATAGATAGATAGATAGATAGATAGATGGATAGACAGATAGATAGATAGATAGATGGATAGACAGATAGATGGATAGACAGATAGATGGATAGACAGATAGATGGATAGACAGATAGATAGATAGATAGACAGATAGATAGTTATTAGTGTATTATTTTATTTGGATTCCATTTGAGTGTATAAATAATAATGGAATATAAAATAATGTTGCTAGATTTTTCAGTAGTCAGGATAATTCTCAGTGGATTCTCAGTTCTCAAGGAGACTGTGTCACATTCATGACAAACGTATAACGTGATGTTGCTAGTAGCAGTGATTGAATTGTTACTTGTTTCTAATAAAACTTACCCTATAAATCAGACATTTTCCCACATGCCTGGCTCAGAATCGCTCTTTGTGTTCAGAGATTCTTCAGATTTTTCAGAGCCCTAAGTCACAGAGTTTCTCTCGTAATAAACTGCCATTAGTTGCTAATCTAACTAGCTATCAAGATAATAGTTCAAATACCAGATCAGATGTGCCCGTAATGTAAGGAACATTGCTGTCACCTAATGAATGTCTGTTTTCATTTCAGCTGTGATTTTGCCCACAATATGGAGGTATCTGCAGACGTTAAATGCAGCACCGTACTTTCTTGGTCTCAGCCTATCAGCGTTCAGCTTCAGCGGGCTTCTCGCTGGTCCTTTGTTTGGCCTCTGGTCAGATCGCACACTCTCCACCAAGAAAGTCATCCTGTTCGCCAATGTCTTTGAGATTGTTGGTAAGTTTGCACTTAAAGGAATAGTTCACCCAAAAATGAACATTTGCTGACAATGTCCTCACTCTCCGGCCATCCGAGATGTAGATGAGTTTGTTTCTTCATCAGATTTGTAGAAATGTAGCATTGCATCACCGTTTCAGCAATGGATGCTCTGCAGTGAATGGGTGCCGTCAGAATGAGAGTCCAAACAGCTGATAAAAACATCACAATAATCCACAAGTAATCCACACCACTCCAGTCCATCAGTTAATGTCTTGTGAAGCCAAAAGCTGCGTGTCTGTAAGAAACACATCCATCATTAAGATGCTTTAACTTTAATGTGTTAATTCTGTCCATAAATATGAGTTCATAATCCATAATAACATTGCCTCCAGTGAAAAAGTCCATCTCCTGTTGTCTCTCACATCAAAATACACCCACATATTTGTTTAGAGCTGTTTTGGCTTGTAAACAGTGCTTGATCAGCGCAGATTTCTCTCCTGATTCAGACCAGATTACTTTGTCACTGGAGGAAACATTATTATGAATTATGAACTCGTATTTTAGCTGGAAGCTAATTTTTAAAGTTAAAAACGTCTTAATGATGGATGTGTTTCTTACAAACACGCATCTTTTGGCTTCACAAGACATTAACTGATGGACTGGAGTGGTGTGGATTACTTGTGGATTATTGTGATGTTTTTGCCAGCTGTTTGGACTCTCATTCTGACGGGACCCATTCACTGCAGAGCATCCATTGGTGAGCAAGTGATGTAGTGCTGTATTTCTCCAAATCTGATGAAGATACAAACTCACCTGCATCTTGGATAACCTGAGGGTGAGCACATTTACAGCAATTTCACCATTTTTGGATGAACAGCTCCTATAATGAAGGCTACGCTTGCAGTGTTGGTGGCTTTTGGGTAACATCTCTTTCTGTCTGTTTTTAGGTAATTTCATGTATTTTATGGGATACTCCAAATGGTTATTGCTCAGCAGTCGTCTAGTTGCAGGTGAAGTTTCAGTCTAATTCTTTAAGGTTATGTCTATTTTAATGCTTTAGTGATTTAACCAGTTTCTAATGGTTTCTCTAGGTATTGGCACTGGTGCTGGATCATCTATCTTCAGCTTCTTGACTAGAAATACAGCCTCTGAGGACCGTTCGACTGTTTTCGCTGCGGTTATGGCCTGCCGTCAAGCTGGGCTTCTGATTGGTCAGTGAAAATAAATTAGTAGACCATACAAGGAAATTAGGATTTGTGCAATACAATATTTTAATTCCTGTTTATATTCAGCAGGTGTTCTACCGAACATATAGTTTGATTAATTATATGTAATAAATTATTTATAACAATTAAATCATTATATTTGTATTAATTATAATTTTATATATATATATATATACAGTGGGGAAAAAAAGTATTTAGTCAGCCACCAATTGTGCAAGTTCTCCCACTTAAAAAGATGAGAGAGGCCTGTAATTTTCATCATAGGTATACCTCAACTATGAGAGACAAAATGAGAAAAAAAAATCCAGAAAATCACATTGTAGGATTTTTAAAGAATTTATTTGCAAATTATGGTGGAAAATAAGTATTTGGTCAATAACAAAATTTCATCTCAATACTTTGTTATATACCCTTTGTTGGCAATGACAGAGGTCAAACGTTTTCTGTAAGTCTTCACAAGGTTTTCACACACTGTTGCTGGTATTTTGGCCCATTCCTCCATGCAGATCTCCTCTAGAGCAGTAATGTTTTGGGGCTATATATATACACACACACACACATAGTGCTTAACAAATATATTACACCACCACCCAACATAAGGTTTGTGCCACAGCTGCCATAAACTAGCAGTATCGGTGATTACCAAAATAATTTTTTTATGTTTCTGTAATGGTTAATCCACACCCGTATGTGTAAGCTCTTTAGTCACAGTAGTGTGTAATGTTTATAATGCTAAGACATAATTATTGTTGGCTTTTATTGGATTAAAAAAATAAATCACACAAGAATTTCCTCAAAAGAAAGTCTTTGGAAACAACTAGAAACTATTTGGAAGTCAAAAACAACAGAGACTGTGGAAAAGTACATAAAAACAATGCCAGCAAGAATGCAAGTTATCATGCAAGTTATCAAGGCTAAAGGTGGGCATACTAAATAAAATCCCATACATTTTTTGGTTATTATGTGTGAATAAAGACTATTTAGTCTTAACTTAAGTTTGTTATTTGCCTAATAAATTACAATACAATTTTTTTTTAAACAAGTTTTTGATTGACAGATTCGTAAAATATTTGTTTTCTCGCTTATGACAGGTGGTCTAATAATTTTGTTAAGCACTATATATATATATATATTATATATTATATATATTACTCGGGGAAGAGACACACACGGGCATTCGCACACTGACCCTACAGATGCGTAAAACCAGAGGTCAGGACAAGAACGTCTGCTGTGCTGTCATATTCTTTCTGGAGAAACAGGGAGGAACTCAGCAGTAATATGTTACGAAGGCATGTTCTTAAATAATGTTTTTTCCTCACAAATACTCCAGATCGAACTCTCGTTATCTTCACAGGATGATAATTAGCACCCCTCATGATGCAAAGAAAGTTACTCAAGCTTATAATTTCAGCTCCACTATTGACATTATAGATTTCCCGCAGAGAACTTAAACATTATATTTGTAATTGATTTCGTAACATTATTCTTTCTGAATTGTATATACACTACCGATAAAAAGTATGGGGTCAGTAAGATTTCTTCTTATGCTCTTTTTTTTGGTCAAGATTTTTTGATGATTGGAAATCATTTATGAGATCAAACACATCTTTACTGAATAAACATTGATTTCTTAAATAAATAAATACAATCTTACCGACCAAACTTTTTGTACAGTAGTGTTTGTTCACAGTATAATGCAAATAAATCAGCAAAATTATTGTAGAAAAAGAAATGTTGCAAGCCAGACTTAAAGTTGTGCTGCCCGCATTAGCACCAAGGCTCAACATTTTACACACCTGTAGTATCAACTAGACCAAATACAGGCTTCAGTTTTATATCCTGTGAATCCTGTTCGTTCTTTTGTTTGTTTCAATTTTTTTTTCTCAAACATAACCAATCCCCAACATATGAGGTAACAGAAATCAGCTTGTTAAAAATTCCTTCCGGGCACCATCATGCCATCTTGCGCGATTAAACATTCAGAAATCTCAGCAGAGCTTCCAAGGAGGCTCGTGTGGCAGTTCTCCAACTTTTAAAACAATGCATCTGGTAATAAGCTCTGAACTGAGACTGTCCTGAGTGTGTCTGGCCTGCTTTAATCCACTTAGTAACTTCCCACTCTGTCTGATGTGCATTGGGGTGTTAGAGTTCACCTGTGACCCCCAGCTACTCACCTTTATGTTATCAGCTTTAAGACGCCTCTTGTAGTGCATTGGAGGGCTGCTCTGTGCTGCTTGAGTCTCGAGACTAATCAGCTGATTGTATTGTGCTGGAGGTGGAGTGTTGCCTCTGTGCTGACAAGCTGTTAGGGCTGAGAGCTCTGCACCTAATGGACAGCTAATATCATGAGTGAATGGTAAAAGTGGAGACTGATCCTACGGCAGATGGAAAATCAATAGTCTATTATAGTCGACAGGGCAGGACGGGGGGAGGAAGGGGAAGGGATGAGGAAGACTGCTACTCGGGCCAAGTCTTCTATACCTGTCTCTTTCTCTACCTCATTTTGCATTTCTCTCCCCTGACCAGTACCGCTCTACAAAAACAGTGACCAACACGTCTGTCAGAGCTCTCTGAACGAGTGTTAAACTGTGAATGTTCTTCATCAAAGAAACCGGTTGCTGCTCAGCCTGCATGATGCAGTGGATGAAACTTTGCTGGAGATCCTCCATGTGAACACGGATTGAGACAAGTTGAACTGTGTTGGGTTCTCAAACTGTGTTTGTGTCATCAGGTGAACCTGCCTAAACTCTAGTAAACCTTTATACAAAAGTTTCAACTCAGAAAAATTCTAGCCCCATCTCTCCTGTTGAATATGAACTGAGCTGGCGGTTGCTTCCTTTATGGTGCAGTACAGAAGATGGATATCATTCGTTTTTTGATTTAATATTGAAAGTAGAAAAATGAGAAAACGGCTCCTTTTTTAGTTTTTTTTGTTTTTTTCTGAAAAACGAGAATTCAGCTTAAATTTTC